TGTTTGCAAAGATTTGGAACCTGGAGGACTTTTGAAGAAGCCAGCTCTGCTCATGTATGTTCAGTTCCGTGCATATTTAACGGAAAAGACAAAAAGCCATTATTCCTGGTGGACTTACAGGTCAGCTACAGCCACTAGATATTTCAATCAACAATCCATTTAAAACACTGATGAAAGAAGAATGGAATAAATGGATGCAAAAGGCAGGTAATAACTTGACACCAGCAGGAAGAGTGAAAAAAACAACTATTACTGAGGTCTGCAAATGGGTCATAAACTCATGGAATGGAGTCAATAAAGAGGTGGTTGTGAAAGCCTTCAAGAAATGTGGAATCAGCAATGCCATGGATGGAACGGAGGATGATCTCATACATAAAGACAGTGACTCAGAAGACAAAGGTGATGCAGTGGAGGTTGAAGAAAGTGATATGTCTGGAACTGAGAGTGATGCATGTTTTTTAGTATTAGCTACCGGTATGCACTCTTCCGCACATGTCCTCCTACCTATACATGGCTAGGATGTTCTACTGTCACTTAGATACATGTTGCTTTTGGTGCCTTGTCACATTTAACTGTTGCACAATGTGATATGTTAATTTTTTTCTGTTCTTATAGAGCACGTTATAATAATGCTGACTAGGCTCCCCCCCAAAAAATGAAAAAATATTACTACCTACTGTAATTACGATACTAAATATACTGGTAAAGTTGTTCTGTGTAATATTTAAAGATACGGTACTAAATATACCGGTGCTTTGTATATTTAATAAATGAGCAAAGTTGTTTTGTTTGATGTTTAAAATATTTATTTCTTAATTTTGGGCTCAAAAAATAGGGGTCGTCTTATACATTGGGGCGTCTCAAACACGGAAAAATACGATACTTTATAAAAAAAAAAATGTATAAACCTTTAAATTGATTTTTCAAAATATTAAAATATCAAAACAATATATGAAAAGATTACAAAATTAAAACATTTTTCATAATATTAAATCATTTTAAAAGTTTATCCAAAAATATAAAATCATTTTAAAATGTTATCAAACAATATTAAATAGATGTCTTATTAGCATATACTCATCACTTTTTTCCACAATCTTCTTACTGAGGTTTGTAATTCACCCTCGCCTTACATTAAGTGACTGGATACTCTGTACTCTGGATACTCTGTAACATTCTATTGGATTTCACTCATTGAAGTTGACATTGATTAAATACCGAGCAGAAAACCGTTTACAATAATAGATTGGTCAATATGAATTTAAGATCCTGTGCTCTTTAAACTCATCAGGCTTGATGAGAACGGTACAGAGATGGATGTTTTAATAAGCATTGAAAAGATCAATATGAGCATCCCATATATCAAGAAGTTAATATATATTATTTTCTCTAAAGTGTGTGATATTTCTTGTTTTTTTTGCAGATGACTGGACGTTATGAGATGTATGCAGAGGAGCTGGCCAGGGTTACAAAAGCAGACTTCCAGCCTGACATTGTTCGAGAATAATGGGTAGAACTGGGTACATGACATCTGTTACACAGCAGTTTTACATGTTCCAATTGGATATTACAACAGATGTAGAGAGAGCTAAAGTGATGGCAATTTGAGGCTGGGTAACCAGCACACACTGTTTCATCTGGCTAATTATCATTTCCCTGATGGAATTTTAAATTGAATAAACATGGCCCCATAATTTGTCTTCCATACCTATAATTGCAATTTAGATATTGAATCAGCTGCTAGCATTATGCCATCACACATTGCAATAGTATTTAAGTTCCATAATATCGAAAGAATCATGACAATATCTATGTAAACAAATTAATAATTTACTATGCCATTATTACAGTATGGTCCTTAAAGGGTTGAACTCCTTTAAATGACAGCAGGAATTTGGAGAACTTGTATGCATTGTAATGATGCAAAAGAGCATCATTTGTTTTGTTTTTAGTACTATATTATCATTTTGTTCAATATGTTGATTAAGAAAGAAATTACCATCAAGTAAAGTAAAAAAAAAACACCTTTTACATTCCACTTCTAACACAATTTAATGGCACTAGTATTTTACAATCAAACTCTTGCTCTTACAGCTGATATGTAGTCTTGTTGACAGCTCAACCCTTAATATTAACTAGTACGCAAAGGGCATAAACAGTGCTAAGAATGGCCAACTCCTGTGTTGACCCTAACAAAAGTGTATATATCGGATCGTTAGAGCATTGGTAACATCACTAAGAAATGGGAAACCAAGGACAGACCAATAAGTGGTCTTGTGCAAGACAACAATGTATATCTACCTACTTCAAATTCTCATAGAATGAACACGTTTGAGGAGAGCCTTCTTCACCTCTAAATATCCCATTTCTGTAATAGTAAAGTGCTGCGGAGCTATATAAATATTAATTATAACACTGTTGATAATAAAGGGATTTATTAAGACAAGTGTCTCAATTAAATTATAGAGAGCTTGTCTGTGATCCTTCCAAAGGTTTTTTGTAACTATTTCATATAGTATTCTGTATTGAATTATATTTACAAAAACTGACTGTTGTCTTTGAGGTATCAATAAAACTTATAACTGTCATTCCTTACCAATAGGCTGGGTTTAAAGGACCACTATAGGCACCCAGACCACTTCAGCTCAATGAAGTGATCTGGGTGCCAGGTCCATCTAGGGTTAACCCTGCAGCTGTAAACATAGCAGTTTCAGAGAAGCTGCTATGTTTACAATAGGGTTAATCCAGCCTCTAGAGGCTGTCTCATTGAGGCGCTTCTCACTGTGAAAATCCATAGGACAGCAGTGAGAAATGCTTTCCTATGGACTGATTGAATGCGCTTGCCGCACATGCGTATTCGGTGGATGACGTCGGAGAGTCCCCAGCGCCGAGGAAGCCCGGTGCTGGAGAAAGATAAGCATTTAACCCCTTCCTCCCCCCTTCAGCCCGGTGGGAGTGGGACCCTGAGGGTGGGGGGGGGACCTAAAGACCCTATAGAGCCAGGAAAACGAGTTTGTTTTCCTGGCACTACAGTGGTACTTTAAGGATATCAATGCATATGTATCAGTTGATTGACTGAATTTTATTTTTACATTTCTTAATTAGCAGATAATTCAGTCCAACTTTAAATGAGATTGACAAAAACGCTATATGTTCATTGTTGGTGATAATTGAAAGGTTTGAAAAACCTTATATTTTTCTTTATGAACTGCTGCAGTATGCACTTTCCACCACTCAATGGCAGGATCACTTAGCAACTGACGACATTGAAGGCAACAAGTATTCAGTGCTTTCACATATGTTACAGTGTTGTAAGTGATGAGCTGTAGTTGTTTGTTCATGACAAATGCTGCTCTCCCAAAGTAGAACCCTAGGTAACTGTGTAAGAGAATTACTATTAACCATACAGATAGTAATTAACCATACAGATGATGAGTTAGGAACAGATTGGCTGGGAATTAGAGAAATTTGTTATGTTACTATATCAGGGTAAAAATCATAAAGAATACATTTGATATTTCGATATAAAACAGGCTCATCCGAGCACTCAATATCAAAGTAGAATTAACTCTAATAGATTATTAAAGGAACACTATAGGGTCAGGAACACAAACATGTATTCCTGACCCTATAGTGTTAAAACCACCATATAGCCCACTTGCCTACCTATATATAGTAAAATCTTACTTGTATTCAAGTCTGCAGCTGCTGGCTCTGCCCCTGTCTGCTGACATCATCAGAAGTGGTGGCCTGAGCCAATCATAATTCTTCCCCATAGGATTGGCTGAGACTGTCTAGGAGGCAGATCAGGGGCAGAGCCAGTACAAGTCAAACACAGCACTGGCCAATCAGCATCTCCTCATAGAGATAAATTGATTCAATGTATCTCTATGAGGAAAGTTCAGTGTCTGCATGCAGAGGGTGGGTACACTGAATGGCAGTGCTACTCACGGTGCCTAGGGAGATATCAGCTATGCCTCACTGATGATTAATACAGACATTTAAATGCCTGGCTTCCTCACATCATGGAGTCTAAGGTATCAATCATTACCTGGGGCTCCCTTCCATCACACTTAGACTCTGTGACCAATGAGCTGTATGCAATGTGTGTAGAAGATTCACAATTATGTCTCATAAAGAACAACATTCTTTCCACTATGAGATAAGAACCAGAGGTCAGTAAGCAGGATCCATAGCTCTTTCCATTATTGGTATCTGATATCATTACATTAGTTAACAAAAAGGGTTACCAGATAGACTTTTGAGATCCAATTAAAGAAAGATAATTAAGCCTTTTTGAAATTTTGGGAACAGAAAGATGGTTTGTATATATATAAAAAAAAAAATCACAATCTATGATCAAAAAGCCATATATGCCCTTTAAAAAAAAAAAAAAATTATATATATATATATATATATATAAACAGCTATAAAAAACAGACCACTGTAAATGAATCAGTTTTTCTTACTGTTTATGGGTATGTAATTAACACTTTTGTTCTATTCTATGAACAATTGACATTTCTCCAAAATTCCTAATAAAAAAACATCATAATTTTGAGCATTTATTTGCAGAAAATATGCTGTGTTTACAGACTTAAAATAATGCAAATAAAACAAGTTCATATTCGTTTAAAGGGACACTATAGTCACCAAAACAACTTTTGCTTAATTAAGCAGTTTTGGTGTATAGATCATGCCCCTGCAATCTCACTGCTCAATTCTCTGCCATGTAAGTTAAATCACTTTTATGCAGCCCTAGTCACACCTCCCTGCATGTGATTTAGACCACCTTCCAAAACACTTCCTTTTAATAGTCATCTGTTTACACATTATTGTAAATCCTGTTTAATTTAGAATTTCTTATCTCCTGATCTGGTAATAGCTTGCTAGACCATGCAGGAGCCTCTTGTATGTAATTTAAGTTAAATTTACAGAGCAGGAGATACAAACTTTAAAAGTAAGTTACATCATAAGTTAGTTAGTGAAGGATCTTGTCACGTCTGGTCAAGATTTTGTCATGTGACAAATTCACGTAGTTTACTGCTTGAATATTACTACATTTTTCTGATCATGTATGGTAGTGTAATTGGGAATAAATCTTATGAGAAATGGTAAATTGGCAGGGAGGCTAAACTGGCACAATGCCTCAAGATTAATGGAACTGACACAATGCCTTAAGATCAATGGAGCCTTAAAGTGACCCTGTCATGCATGTACCAGCATGTGCTGGAGGGGATGCGGTCTCACAGGCACATACCTACATATGTGGTGGGAATGCACCCAGATTAGGCTACTCTGGTAGGCGATGTTCTGGAAAAACTTTTTAACAGACAACCGGACTTAACCCCATGGGAGCGCCTCCTGAATAGGTCATTGGATGGGTGGACTCGAATAGAACAAACTTTGATACAGAAAGCCACCTTGTCGACCAGATGGGCGATTGCCCAGATTTGGCTGCAGCCCACTGTTCCCTCCATCTCAAGTCCTAGATAAAGTTAAGGACAATTGTCTGATGAATAAACTGACAGCGCAGGTGAGAAACATGGTACAGAAGTTTGAGAAAATATGGGAACCCTGGTTCTCCAGTGACCTTGCAGACTGACGTAGGACGTAGGTGACATGATGTTATTCTGTTTAACTCGGATGAGTCGCACCAATTGATGTCATATATTGTTTAATTCTTCGTTGCTGTACCATGTGATAGTGGTGTTCTGTAATGAGTATCACTTTGTTGTGCTATTTTCGACCAAAAATTCAAGATTGAAAAAAAAAAAAGTGACCCTGTCATAATACTTATTTTGGCTTTTCTATCCTTCTGTCCCCTGTATCTTAATACTTCTACTAAACCTCATGACACTTGTCTTTTACCGGATGCAGCCATATTCTTCTCCTTTGCCCATGATTTGTCCTGATTGCCCTTCTGTGGGACCGATTTTACTAATGGATTTTGGGTAACTTTGACTGGCAACTGAAATAGAACATTGTTTAAGCTTCACATGGTCAATTTTTGTCATTTTAACAGCTATACATAAGAAAAAAAATTAGTTCCTATTTTTCCTTATGTATTTTATGAAAATTAGAGAGCTTAGGAAAAGAAATTTAGATAGAGCGAGCTATATAGAAGCAGACTAGATAAAGTTTATTTTGTCATTAACATAGATCTAGCCGCATGACATGATCCTGCCTTAAAAGAAAGAATGCCAGGGTTTGCATCAGACCGTTTGTATTTGAACAGTTTCATAAAAAATCAAGGCCCTCCCAGCGCCCACAGCCAAGCCCCTTTGGTGAAACTTGCTAATGCGCAGGTGGACTTTTAAATGAACCTTTCCACTTCTGACATCAATGAGAGCATGTGGGTAGGGTTGACCCAGAACTCTTAGCCTAGTATTCCGAACCAAAATTATACAAGCTAATGTGTAAATTTACCTGATGCAAGAATCATGAGTATTTTGTTTTTTTGCCAAATTGTATGGTCCAGTGAGCTGTAGTAGTTATGGTAACTAGAGCGTTCCTCTTTAATGCACAGTCTGTACAAATTTTTCATTCCTTGCACAGCTTTTTCAAGATCTAAATTAAGGTGTTAATTCTGTAATTGATTTTTAATTATTTGCTGTAAGCGGAGTAGAACTTATTTTTTCCCTTTTACGATCTTTTAAAGAGTCTTCAGCATCGTGACACTACAGCACAAAAAGCAAAATTGCCAATCCTTTGACAGCCACTGAAGCACTAACTGCAGTAGTGCAATAGAAAGAAAACAAATTTTCTGTACTGTGCTTTCATCTTCAGGGCAATGTTATTGTCCCTTGCATCTACAAATATGTACCATGCCATTATACACCACCACAAAGGCTAAATTTATTTTCAGGCTATGCGCTTTGCCAGGGCTGCAAGATGTACAGTGTAAATTATATTTTTAAATACATATAGCACAAAGCAGATGTAAAGTTGTAAAGTTTAGAGATATTCACTTACTTGGTCTCTCCATCAATTTGCCCTGCCTGGAACCACTTTCCCATGCAGGGCACACTTCCTCTGTAATGCTGGTAATGTTGCCAGCATCCGAATGATTGATGTCAGTTACTATGTTTCTATATTCCCCAGCCGGTGCTACCAGCGTCAGCTAGAGAGTTTAGTAACTGCAATGCAAGCGCTGTGTGAAGCGCAAGGACTGCCTATAGTAGGTCTCTACTGCTCTCCCTTGTCAGTCAGCTCTTCAGCATAGACTCTAAGAATTGATTGAAGAAAGACCTAATTTTAAAATGTTTTTCTCCCAATCTATACATTTGCTCACAAATATACTAGCACACTGTATAGATGAAATGTTATGCTCTTTCAGACGTGTTTATGGTTTAGGTACCATGGCAGATACCATTTAAAATGCACATGTTCAAGTTAATTGACGATTTGTTGTCTTTGATAACTGGTGAATGACCAATAATACCATCTTTCAGTGATAGCATTGCAGATGTCCTCTTTTTAGTATTAGTGTTAAACTGCATCTGAGCCAGTTGGAAATGTACGACAGTGGGATTGTCCCATCAATACTTAAAAGGTCTTGTATATCCATGCACAAACTCCTGTACTTTAAAAGATCCGAATTACTTCCTTATCAATGACAGCACAAAGGTCTTGAAAGATTTTTCTTTTCCTCGATAATACATTACTATAAAAGTATAATAAGAACATGAAACATAGCATGATATATAAAATATTTTATTATAAATGGACTAGTGAAGTTTTGTGGTTTGGTTGCATCAGAAAAGGAAGTCTCCTTCCCCCCCACAGTGTTGCTTTGCATGCCTGTGGACTCATGGTAGGTGCTATAACTGACTGGCTGTGCTTTGAGTAATAGGTCAGCGTGTTCTCAGTTTAACTCTAGCTCGCTAAACAGTAGCCAAGACTAATGCATTTAGTGTGTTGGGCAGACAAAAGCAATTCTTGTACTCAAGTGCAGCGGTCATGGTAGGATTCAATAGACTGACCACAGATTTGGTGGTTGCACAGGCTGAAGCAATAATTTAATACATAATTAAGCCTCATTAAATATGATTAAACAAGATAGTCACTTGAGGGCTAGTTAATTAACTGTATTTAATTTGGTGTATCACCTTCTAAAATGTCCTTTAAATACCCTGTGTGTTTCCAGATCTACTTCACAAAACCTGAAGTTTCTGTTAAAAAAAAAAAAAAAAAGTAAATACTTCTGACTAATGAAATAATCACTTAAATGCATACAGGTTTATTTTGATTCCTTAAGTTATCAATTATTATCTCATAAGAGTCAATGCCCTCAAACCCTAGGTTGCAGGAGGTCCATTAAAAATGGCTTCCACTGGAACTACAATGGCTGAGGGAGCTCGACAGTGACTGTCAATAAAGCAATCTTATCTTAAATTAGGTTAAACCAGAAGAACAATGAGACAATCTGAGCTTACTGTGCAAATATACAAACTATGCCATACTTATGTAAGTACTGCCATCCTACACTATCCACCCCAAAATAATATTGTTTGTTTTAAATAGTACATATATTTGGTGGAGGTGTGATTAGAGTGCAATTCTGCTTCACAGAGTTTTGTGTCGAATTAAATGTCTCCAATGAAATGTCTTTAAAATACCAAGGAATGCAGAGAAGGTTCTGCTCAGTAAGTATCTTCATCCTGAGAAAGCATGCGCCCCATTATGGGCACAAGTAAGAGGTCAACTTGCCACATAGATGAACAAGATGTCCTCATCAGTGCCATAGCTCCTGCGAGATTCCTCAAAATTTGTCACACTTGTACGACACAGCCCTAACAAGATACATTAGAGTTAGACAAAACAAAAAAACAGCCATGTACAAGAGCATATTGTGTAGCCAATACTTACTATCTGCATATCCTGGGTTGTTGTAGAACAAGCTACCAGAGCTTTTGTTATATCCACATAAAACAATGAAATGTCCCTGGTAGTCACTGCTTCTACAGAAGCATTTCTGCCCTATAGGAAGGAAACAGCAGTACTTGACACGGCTGGGGCACAAGTCACAGAGCAGCACCACCGCATTCACTAGTACAATGGCTACATGTCCCTGGGAAAGGTGATCCTGCAAGTCCTGTATGGTCACAGTGCTGCAAAAGGAAAAAATAGTTGCAAATGCACTGCACAATATTATACAACCAGTCATGATCCAAGTGTAACCAGATACTTCTCTATCAATTACTCTTGTGTAAAGCTGCGTTAAAAAGCTCAGAAACACCCTCAGTGGAATGTTTCCCACAAATCGCCTATATGGACAGAAGTATTGGGACACACCTCTTAATTACTGAATTCAGGTGTTTCAATCAGATGCATTGCCACAGGTGTATAAAATCAAGCACCTAACCATGCAGTCTGCATTTACAAACATTTGTGAAAAAAATGGGTTCTGAATAACTCCAGTGAATTCAAGCTGGTACTGTGATACGATGCCGCCTTTGTAAGAAGTCAGCTTGTGTAATGTCAACCCCAGCTAGTTATTCCACCTTCAAATGCAAGTGGTATTGTTATAAAGTGGAAGCATTTAGAAACAGCAGCAACTCAACTCTGAAGCAGAAGACCATGTAAAGTCATGGTGTGTAAAGGTTGCCAATGCTCTGCTGATTCCATAGCTGAAGAGTGCCAAACTTCCACTGACATTAATATCTGCACAAAAACGGTCTGGTGAAAGCTTCATGAAATGAGTTTTCATAGCTGAGAAGCAGCATGCAAATCTCATATAACCAAGCACAACGCCAAGTGTCGGATCGAGTGGTGTAAAGCATGCTGTCACTGGACGCTGGAGCAGTGGAAACGTGTTATGTGGAGTGATGAATCATGCTTCTCTGTTTGGCAGCCTGACTGGCAACTGAATTTGGCCGATACCTGCCTGACTGCATTGTGCCAACTGTAAAATTTGGTGGAGGGATAATGTACGTGGCTGTTTTTCAAGGGTAGGGCTAGGGCTCTTCCAGACATTTTGGACAATGCTATGCTTTCAACGTTGTGGGGACCATTTTGAGAAAGGGCCTTTTGTATCCCAGGATGACTTTGCCCTCGGGTGTACAAAGCAAGGTCCATAAAGATATGGCTGGATGAGTTTGGTGTGGAAGACATTGACTGGCCTGGATAAAGCCATGACCTTAACATTATTGAATACCTTTGGGATGAACTTTAATAGAGACTGCAAGCCAGGCCTCTTCGTCTTACATCAGTGCCTGACCTCACAATTGCTCTACTGGATGAATTAGTAAAAATTCCCACAAAATTTTGTGGAACACATTCCCAGAAGAGTGGAAGCTATTATATCTACAAAGGGGAACCGACTACATAGTAATGTCTATGTAGTTAGAATGCAATTTCATATAAGTCCCTGTTGGTGTAGTATCACAATACTTTTGTCCATATAGTGTATATAAGAACTAAGAAAGAATTGCAACAATTATATATATATATATATATATATATATATATATATATATATATATATATATATATATATATATATATATATATATATATATATATATATATAAATATAAAAAGATATATATATTTTTTCTCAATCTTAATTACTAATAATGTACGAAGTGTCAGGAATTCCTAGTAAGCTGGTGCTTGACTAGATTTATAATAATTTAAGCAAGTCAATGTTTGTTTTAGTCTGGATGAACCAATAATAAAAAAATAAAAAAAAGATGAAAGTACCATTTCTCCACATGCACTCCGCGAGATTTGGCTTGGGCAAATAGTTGATTTACTCTGTTCTCCTCTGCATCAAAATGTTTCCTGTAGAAGGACTGAAAAAAGACATTAGTCAGTTATTGCCAAATACTACATGGCAGTGAACCAAAGGACTTTGAATTTTACTTTTGAATGATATTAAATTATAATGTTCTAAACTATAGGCTCTTCATGCTCCTTTATTCTTCAGCCTATGTATGCCTAAGTCAGCTTGATAAAGACCTGGGAACATGTCGAAACGTTGCTGTGTCCATTAAATCTGCCTGGAATTATCACAGTGAGTGCCTGAGATTTTTTTCCTTTTGATATCTGTTTAAGGGGTATGCTGACCAATACTCAGTCAGCACCCTGTGATTTATTTGAGTGAGTGCAACCCTCTTTTTCCTTCTGGTATGTACGCCTAAGTGTCACATTGGATGTGAACTTTTTAATTCACTGAACAGTGCCTGGAACCATGTAAGTGCTTAGCTGATAATAAACCCGCCTACAGAGAACAAGTTGAATGGTTGGACTTTGATAAAAGGTTCCCGTGGAGTCAAAAGGTATGGTTTTAAAATAAATATGCCTTAACACCATCTGTATGTGCCTGGTCTAACTTTCTTCATGATTATTAATACGTTGGGAACTGTCCACCCTGATCTGGAGGCACAGATGGAAAAATGTTTAGAGAATGCCACTCTATGAATATATAGGGTTGGACTTTGGGAAATGAAATTAAAATGTCAACAGCCCAATTCCGATAAAGTAAATGCCACTGAGGAGTGGTACTAACCTGATTCTTGTATCCTTTATCTACACCAAGTGTCTGTGTGCAGAAACGATGCTGGACCCCAAAGTGGTGCATAAGGTAGGCCAGGTCAATAGTCCATATGCTCTTAGTGAGGTGCAACTTCTGTATAGCATTCTGAAAGTCTTCCTCACGCAGGAGTTTCAGGTACCTTTATTACAAAGTACATGGTGAGGCCAAGGAGATGTAGTTCATGATATATGGACTCAACATATCAATACATAAAAAGAACAGAAGTGACACCACCTACTTATATTATGTAATGGAACAGGTCTACTCGAGTAATTTTTTCACATCACCAGCAGTGGTACAAACACACTACAATAAGTGACAACTCCTATATGCGTTGAGGTATAAAGTTTCTACACAGACTACTTGTTTAGCACCGACTTTAACTACCCTTTTCAAAGTAAAGAGATTACTCACTGTAGTACCATGCGGGCACATGCTAGACCACAATCCCAGTGAAATGATTGCTGGATGAGAGGGACCTTTAACTGGACGTGATCACCTGCAAAAGACCATCAAGAATTGGGTACAACTTACAACTTCCTGTACAAAACTTCAAGTGTCACTTGAATATTTACTAATGTGGCTCTATATAAGTTATTAAATTAATTATTCCGCTTGTACAATCTTAATGCCTGTTTATTGGGGGGGGGGGTTGCCATTTACAAGACTAGCACAGGAGAGAATGTGTACTTAGCTCGGCTATATGATTGACAAACACGTATGAAAACAACAACAAAAATGTACATTGTGTCATATTTTTTCTGGCAAAAGATAGTGTCAAAAAGGCTCAAGGCCAAAGCATCAATTTGAGCTCTCTTAAATTGCATACATCAATATTAGTAGAAAAGCTTTTATTTTTATTATTATAACACAACCCTGATGGAACCAGCTTCTTTACTGTGTTGTTTTATATTATATTATATTGTGAACTTTTCCCCCTACGGGTTACCTTAAAGCTGTTGCTTCTTTACTGGTGCACTGTGCGTCTAAGGCCAAGTATGATATGAAATGAACTGACCTGGAGTGCAATTTCTTTCTCGCAGAGTAACTTATCTTTGTTCTTCCTTACAATGTAAAAGCTAACCTACATTCTAGTAACATACTAAGTATTTACCCTGGGGTGGATTTTCTAGAAGGTATAGTCATAATGCCTGTTCATGGAGGTTACATAAGAGAATGAATAAGATAGTTTTGACATATTTTGTCTTGAGATGGTCGAACTAAAGTGTAACTAAACTGGGAACTCTAGAGAATTGACAATGGCACTGCTAAATGTAGGCTGAAGTAGATGCTTTTGAAATTCTTTTTCCAGTTTGGTTATTTTCAGGGACAACATGCAATTCCACTGTTTTGTCAGGAGACCTTCTTTGAGGTGGGCATAATAGATGTACTTTAAGATTCCTGGTCAAGTACTTTTCCCCTTTAGAAAGTTTAGGCACTTCTTCTTCAACCCAACATAACTTCAAGCACTGTATTAAGACATCACGGTAGAAATCAGGTTGAGAAAGTACACTAACAGATTCTATTGATATGAGTTACACAAATGTATGTCAATTATAAAAATAACCCAAGAGAGTGGAGATGCAGATCCAGGTATAAGAGGTCCACCTACAAATAATAAAAGAGTATACCATTCACAATTGAAACATTGCTGTAAAACAAAAAACGGTTCTGCTACACACACTGACCTCCTAGACAGGGATACCTGCTGTACCCCCACTAACACCTACCATTTGCACCACAATTAGTGATTAATAGTGCTATAATGACACTTATGAGGGCACGGTCCATCACAAACTGTGCTATGACACAACATTATCAAAGGATAAAAATGGTGTATGGGGTAACTTTTATTAAACTGGATATAGAAACATGCTCTATACAGACAGACTCTACTCTAACAGTACATATAGAAACAGGCTCTATATTAACAGAACATATAGAAACAGGCTCTATACTAACAGTACATATAGAAACAGGCTCTATACTAACAGTACATATAGAAGCAGGCTCTATTCAAAAAGTACATATAGAAGCAGGCTCTATTCAAAAAGTACATATAGAAGCAGGCTCTATACTAACAGTACATATAGAAACAGGCTCTATTCAAAAAGTACATATAGAAGCAGGCTCTATACTAAAAGTACATATAGAAGCAGGCTCTATACTAACAGTACATATAGAAACAGGCTCTATACTAACAGTACATTTAGAAGCAGGCTCTATACTAATAGCATATATAGAAACAGGCTCTATACTAACAGAACATATAGAAGCAGGCTCTGTACTAACAGTACATATAGAAACAGGCTCTGTACTAACAGTATATATATATATAGAAACAGGCTCTATACTAACAGTACATAAAGAAACATGCTCTATACAGGCAGGCTCTATACTAACAGTACACACAGAAACAGGCTCTATACTAACAGTACATATAGAAGCAGGCTCTATACTAAAAGTACATATAGAAGCAGGCTCTATACTAACAGTACATATAGAAACAGGCTCTGTACTAACAGTACATATAGAAACAAGCTCTATACTAACAGTACATATAGAAACATGCTCTATACTAACAGTACACACAGAAACAGGCTCTATACTAACAGTACATATAGAAGCAGGCTCTATACTAACAGTACATATAGAAGCAGGTTCTATACTAATAGCATATATAGAAACAGGCTCTATACTAACAACATATAGAAGCAGGCTCTGTACTAACAGAACATATAGAAGCAGGCTCTATACTAACAGTACATATAGAAGCAGGCTCTATACTAACAGAACATATAGAAGCAGGTTCTGTACTAACAGTACATATACAAACAGGCTCTGTACTAACAGTACATATAGAAGCAGGCTCTGTACTAACAGTACATATAGAAGCAGGCTCTATACTAACAGTATATATAGAAACAGGCTCTGTACAGACAAGCACTATATACTAACCATACATATAGAAGCAGGCTCTATACTAACATTACATATAGAAGCAGGCTCTATACTAACATTACATATAGAAGCAGGCTCTGTACTAACAGAACATATAGAAACGGGCTCTGTACTAACAGAACATATAGAAGCAGGCTCTGTACTAACAGTACATATAGAAACAGGCTCTGTACTAACAGTATATATAGAAACAGGCTCTATACTAACAGTACACACAGAAACAGGCTCTATACTAACAGTACATATAGAAGCAGGCTCTATACTAAAAGTACATATAGAAGCAGGCTCTATACTAACAGTACATATAGAAACAGGCTCTGTACTAACAGTACATATAGAAGCAGGCTCTGTACTAACAGTACATATAGAAACAGGCTCTATACTAACAGTACACACAGAAACAGGCTCTATACTAACAGTACACATAGAAGCAGGCTCTATACTAACAGTACATATAGAAGCAAGCTCTATACTAACAGTACATATAGAAACAGGCTCTATACTAACAGTACATATAGAAGCAGGTTCTATACTAATAGCATATATAGAAACAGGCTCTATACTAACAACATATAGAAGCAGGCTCTGTACTAACAGAACATATAGAAGCAGGCTCTGTACTAACAGAACATATAGAAGCAGGCTCTGTACTAACAGAACATATAGAAGCAGGCTCTGTACTAACAGTACATATAGAAACAGGCTCTATACTAACAGTACATATAGAAGCAGGCTCTGTACTAACAGAACATATAGAAGCAGGTTCTGTACTAACAGTACATATACAAACAGGCTCTGTACTAACAGTACATATAGAAACAGGCTCTATACTAACAGTACATAGAGAAACAGGCTCTGTACTAACAGAACATATAGAAGCAGGTTCTGTACTAACAGTACATATACAAACAGGCTCTGTACTAACAGTACATATAGAAGCAGGCTCTGTACTAACAGTACATATAGAACCAGGCTCTATACTAACATCATATATAGAAACAGGCTCTATACTAACAGTATATATAGAAGCAGGCTCTGTACAGACAAGCACTATATACTAACCATACATACAGAAGCAGGCTCTATACTAACAGTACATTTAGAAGCAGGCTCTATACTAACAGTACATTTAGAAGCAGGCTCTATACTAACAGTATATATAGAAGCAGGCTCTGTACAGACAAGCACTATATACTAACCATACATACAGAAGCAGGCTCTATACTAACAGTACATTTAGAAGCAGGCTCTATACTAACAGTATATATAGAAGAAGGCTCTGTACAGACAAGCACTATATACTAACCATACATATAGAAGCAGGCTCTATACTAACAGCATATATAGAAACAGGCTCTGTACTAACAGTACATATAGAACCAGGCTCTATACTAACAGTACATTTAGAAGCAGGCTCTATACTAACAGTATATATAGAAGAAGGCTCTATACTAACAGTATATATAGAAGAAGGCTCTGTACAGACAAGCACTATATACTAACCATACATATAGAAACAGGCTCTGTACTAACAGTACATATAGAAGCAGGCTCTATACTAACAGTACATATAGAAGAAGGCTCTGTACTAACAGTACATATAGAAGCAGGCTCTGTACAGACAAGCACTATATACTAACCATACATATAGAAGCAGGCTCTATATCGAAACATGCTTATGTTGATACATAATGAAGCTTATTCGCTCTATGGCAATGAATGCTGTCTGGTTATGTATTGTCATTATTCCTGGCCTGCACTATATAATGTCAGTGTGATGGGCAGCATGCCGGTAAGTGTGCCATTCTGTGTTTATTGGCATACACCCGGTGGCTGTATCCGCTATGCAGGCAGTGCAGGGCGCTGTCTGTGTCCCGGTAACGCGGGCCTTACATGAATACACACGGTTATCGTTGTCCTGGTTGCTGGGGGGTTGCACAGCTCCCTTGCCCCCCTCGGGCTGCCCCGGATTCTTCATGGCGATGACCGTGCTCCCCGGGATCTCCTCATACCGACCCCCTCTCCCGGGACTCCCTGAGTGTCCGGGGCGGAGCCGGAAGCAGCACCGAGGGCGGAGAGCCACAGTGATAAACACAGACTGTACCGAGCTCGCCCGGTGACACCGACAGCGATACAGTGATCGGCTGTAATGACCTCTATATGTAGTGACTGAGAGCTTTATATCCGCAGACACTACAATCGCTACATGTAGTGACTGAAAGCTTTATATCCGCAGACACTAAATTCGCTACATGTAATGACTGAAAGCTTTATATCCGCAGACACTACAATCGCTACATGTAGTGACTGAGAGCTTTATATAAATAGCTACATGTAGTGACTGGGAGCTTTATATCTGCAGACACTAAAATCGCTACATGTAGTGACTGGGAGCTTTATATCCGCAGACACTAAAATCGCTACATGTAGTGACTGGGAGCTTTATATCCGCAGACACTACAATCGCTACATGTAGTGACTGGGAGCTTTATATCCGCAGACACTACAATCGCTACATGTAGTGACTGAGAGCTTTATATCCGCAGACACTACAATCGCTACATGTAGTGACTGAGAGCTTTATATCCGCAGACACTACAATCGCTACATGTAGTGACTGAAAGCTTTATATCCGCAGACACTAAAATCGCTACATGTAGTGACTGAGAGCTTTATATCCGCTGACACTACAATTGCTACATGTAGTGACTGAGAGCTTTATATCCGCAGACACTACAATCGCTACATGTAGTGACTGAGAGCTTTGTATCCGCACACACTACAATCGCTACATGTAGTGACTGAGAGCTTTGTATCCGCTGACACTACAATCGCTACATGTAGTGACTGAGAGTTTTGTATCCGCTGACACTAAAATCACTACATGTAGTGACGGAGAGCTTTATATCCGCAGACACTAAAATCACTACATGTAGTGACTGAAAGCTTTATATCCGCAGACACTAAAATCACTACATGTAGTGACTGAGAGCTTTATATCCGCTGACACTACAATCACTACATGTAGTGACTGAGAGCTTTATATCCGCTGACACTAAAATCCCTAGATGTAGTGACTGAAAGCTTTATATCCGCAGACACTAAAATCACTACATGTAGTGACTGAGAGCTTTATATTCGCAGACATTAAAATCACTATATGTAGTAATTGAGAGCTTTATATCGGCAGACACTAAAATCAATATCTGTAGTGAGTGAAAGCTTAAATCTGCAGACACTAAAATTAATATATGTACTGACGGCTTTTTATCTGCAGTCAATAAAAGCACTATATGTAGTAACTGGAAGGTAATCATCTGTGTGCAGGGAACTGGATAAAAAGGCTTGAAATCTGGGAGTATCTATATATAGACTAGAGGAAGGTAGAGCGATTGACATCTGTCTTTTCTGGGAAGAATCCCATTACATATGAAGAACTGTATAAATTAGAGCAGGGGTTCCCAATTATTTTTTCCTGTGGAACCCTTTGACATAGTGTATCAACATTGTGGATACTCCCCCCCCGGTGTGTATCAAGGTATGTATATCTGTGCTGATATGTGCCAGTGTGTGTCTGTGTGTGTGTGTATACCTGACACACAGATATACACACACACACTTGCACATAGTAGGGTACTGTTGTTCTCGTGAGACATTACTCTACACACATATTAGTGTTTTAGAACAATAAAATGTATTATACTGATAATATCTGTGAAATGGCAGTTTATGTGTGAAAAATGCAAAAAAAAACTAATAAATTCTAATTTTGGCAAGGGTTTGTGACTAAGTGGCTACTAACAAAAATACTGGACATACCCCATTTGAATACCTTGGGTTCTCTACTTTTACAAATGGTATGACATGATAGGGTTAATTTTCATTCCTGGGCTGCTATACGGTCTCAAAGGCAACATAGGCCCAGCAAACTAATCTGGCAAATTTCAATGTGCAAACATGGAAAAGGGGAAAGCCCTACATTTGATCCCTGTAAGTTTGCAAAAACCCATAAAACCTGTACATTTGGGGCACTGCTAATATGTGTGGGTACAGAAACTGAGTAAGAGGAAAATTACAGCTAAACACAAACACAGCAGAAATGGAAATACAGCCCTGGTCCCAGACGGTAAGAAAATTGAAAAGCAGTATGGTGACTAAGCGGTTAAAGACTTTTCTTAAAGCAGCATTGAGAAGTTTGTGATCAGACACAGAAAGTCTAGCCTAGGTAAGATGAGAGCTTGCGTACAGTGTGTGTTTTAGGACTGATTGCTTAAAAGCCAGGCAGTGTAACAAGGTTAATTTAGAAAAAAGCAAATTTATATTGAACTCTTCACATTTGTAAAATGAATGAATGAGGACACACTCATCACACATACAGCATTTCAGCAAGCTGAGGTGCTTTAGGGGTCTGGGATGTTCCTGCAGAGTGTTTAAAGATGACTCTCCCAGTAGACAGAATTAAGGTCATAGGGAAACCACAGACAGGTCTCACTAGATGCTTTTGCACTGTGCAAACTGCCCTCATAGCGTATAGTCAGTGCAGTTCTGACATGGGCTACACTGAGTGGGGCTAGCCAGCAGGGCTGCTGGTTAGCCTGGTGTACATACACACTAGGCCGACATTATAACCCCCTTTTTGGAAGCCCTACACACAAAGAGATCATAAACACATTCTTTTTCGCATATCCTCTATACCACATTCTTACTGCCCAATATCAGGAGGTATGTAAAGGTACTGAAAATAGCTGTTCTATGAAAGAAAAAAAAAGTCTAAAATAAATGTAATTCTTTTAGCACTTAGAAATATTCTGATCTCTCTTCAGCTCTGTCAGCTTCCTGTGCCAAAAGCCATCTTTCTAAAACTCCTGGAGAATTAGTATGTCAGGAGCCATTGTCACTACTGTACTCTTGTGCATGCGCAACAGAACAAAATAGTCTATGAAGCATTCTGTCAAATCTTTAATAAATAATCTATACACGTGCAGTAAGGTGCAATAGGCATCTATTGTGCATCTCTAACCTAATACTTTTTCTTAGAGCCTCAGTGTAATGGTAGCAGAAACAGGCCTTTTTGTCAATATTGGCAATCACATGAGACAAAATAGTCTATACATTGTTTGCATCATTTTTAGCTTTTTAATTGCGTCTCAGCTATCAAAGAAGTTCCATAACAGTCAAAAATAACTATTTTATGAATAATACACCAGTATAAAAAGCTCAAACGTGAAAGAGTGGCTGTAAACCCAAAAGGCAATCATAACATTAATTTGCACTGGGCTCCTCCCTATTTCTATATAAAGAGGGTTTTGGTAACCCTGGTGCATAGGAACGTTTTAGTTTGTCGCAGGTTTCCGGTCGGACTGTTCGCGTTGCACCATTCCTCAGGAAGTGAGCCATTTCTCGGCAGCTTCCGTTTCCTATTCCTGGTGCATTGTGGATCAGGCGGGACGCCATTTAGTCGTTGAACAGCAGCCACGCTAGTAAGTAACCGGCATATTGGTAAACGTATACTAAATAAATGGGGAAACACCCCCAGAGATGGGGCCTCACCGTGGTGGGAGTGTAAAGAGTAAATGCTTTATTACCGGGCAAGATTATCGCCGCTGGATACGGGGTGAAGCCGGGGAACTCCAATAGGAATGAATTGTATCAATGTATTGTGTAAATAGAATGCCGGGGGACGCTGGGTTGGTGTCTGAGAGTCAGATGGATACTTGGTGATTCTATGAAATACAATGAGACCAAGGAAAATCAAATTTAGGGGATTACTAAATCTGGGCATTGTATGAAGGGGGGACGTACATCTAGACCGTGAGCTGGGCTCTGGGAGGCAACAGGACGACGAACGATTAGACTAGTTATAAAAAGTGCAAGGATGGTGAGACTTTGTGTAGGAGGAGGTAAACTGGCATGGCTACTGATGGCCCATATATATTTGCGGGTTTTGCTGTAACATTTAAATTGGGCATGTTATGCACATCTGTAAATGTGTTTGTTTTTTTTTTTGTTTTTTTATCAATTAATTTGAGGCTCAATAGATAACGTCAATTTTAGGGCTATTGATTGTGAGTTCCACGTTTAAGGCCAAAATAGCTGAATTGAGAAGTCATGTGTGTTTTCTCTATTGGCTAAAGTTTAAGATTTTACTCTGAATTCTATACAACTCACACATTTTTAAAGTCCTTTATTTTTGTCTGATTTGCATTAAGTGTCAGTTGAAAGTGGAGTTGTTACTTGCACCATTGTGTGAAATGCTGAGAAATTCCAATAACTTTTTAAAAGGGAACTGTCCAAAAATGTACATATACTCTATTATTTTTAATAATCTTGCAGTAAATTACACACAGCATTATCAATCCGTGTACAGTGCTAACTAAAAGTTGATCTAGGGGCCCCAGGTAAGAAGGTAAATCACCGCATACACCCCCTTCCCTCACATAACCAGGACATAGGTGGGAAGTACATTTTAAAGGACCACTATAGTGTCAGGAAAACAAACTTGTCTTCCTGACACTATACAATCCTTGGGACTCCCTCCCGTTGGGCTGAATGGATTAAAACGCCTTCAGCCACTTGCCTTTATCCAGCGCCGTGCTCCCTCGGCACTGGCGACCTCTCCTCCCCCCCTCCGACGTCAGCTCTTGAGTGGAGCCGAATGTGCATGGGCGGCCAGAGCAACGCGCGCGCATTAAAGATGTCAGGAAGACAGCTACTAGAGGCTGGATTAACCCTGCAATGTAAACAAAGTGGTTTCTCAAACTATGTTTTCAGCTGCAGGGTTAAAACCTGGGGGAACTGGCACATAGACCACTTTATTGAGCTGAAGTGGTCTGGGTGACTATAGTGGTCCTGTAATGTATTTTGCCAAGTTGTCAGCAAACTGATATGTAATAAAATGTATAACGTGCTGTTATGGTCTTTGATATGTCGGGAGGAGTACCTGATGAACCCATGCAGTAGCTCCTCCTGTAGCATATGTGAGAAATATAGTGGGGCTTTATGGCAACTTCTTCTGATTACTGGGTGGGGAGCTGTAACCAATGGTATCCTCAGCAGTGTTTTATTAGCTCTGACATTCTGCTAATTTGGCTACACGTTTAATGTATTTTTGTCTTGGGAGTACTGCAGTCTGTTGCCTTGTAGATGATGGTAGTTGTGGGTTTTGTTTTTACACATTAACTTTATTAGTGATGCTCCACTGCACAAATAGTCCAATAAAATTAATGGCTTAGTACATATGCCCCCAGTGAAAATCATGCATGCCATCCCCCTCTAACTCCACTCAGCCTTTTTTGTGGGTGTCCAATTACACATTTCTCAATGCAGTTTAAAGAGAAGGCTTTGCAAGGCAGGTGCACTTGCCTGACTCTTGATGATTTTTATTTAAGCTTTTGAGCAATCAGGAAGTAACATGATGCTTTGTCTGACAGCCTGGGAAGGGGGATGTAACAATTTATAAAAGTTCCAGTTCCTATTAATCTCATGTAACACAAGACACCCTTCACACATACACTTTAGCATGCTGAAGTGTTTTAGGGGTGTGCCTTTCAATAAGTCTGCAAGGTAGGTAAAGGCTTTGACCAGAATCAATATTCTGGTGTTTAGGAACGTCTGAAACTGTCTTACTTACTTGTGTGTTTTGCAGGTTTGTCACCTAGAACCAACAAACATGTCTATTGGCGTGCCAATCAAAGTTCTCCATGAGGCAGAAGGACACATTGTGACATGTGAAACAAACACTGGTGAAGTGTACAGAGGAAAGCTGATAGAGGCAGAGGACAATATGAACTGTCAGGTGCGTTGTGTATTCAAGTAATTCATAATACTCCTAACATGAAGTGGCATCACTTTGCTTACGCCACCTTTTTATAATTTGCATTTTGGGGCAAATACTTAACCTACTGAATTGGGGTAATTGTTGCTTTTTGCCAAAATGTCTAGAGTAACTTATGATGGAAAAAAGGAAAGTGTTCACTTTACTCTCAAGAGTAACTTAATGTACTGCTTTTTAAATTTATAGACCCCAAAGACAAATCTTTAAATGTTCTGTACCTATTCAGATAATTTGTCTGCAAATAACAGGTGTTTCCTCTATTGATTACATATGACATGAGTCACTGCTGGATGTAGAAAGTAAACTATGATGAACATGGCGCCCGGCCGTTCAACATTGAAGTGTGAAAGTTCCTTATATTGGATAGAAAATGTATCTTTAAGTGACTTTTTAATAAATGGTGTTGCTGTACTATCTGTGAGTAAATCTGATAGTTTGGTACTTGATTGTCCTCCTGGAGATAATCAGTCTCCATATGCAAATGTTATAACCCACTTGTCCTTTTACAGAAGGAATTTATATATTTTTTATTTTATTTTTTTGTGGGAATTGAACAGACTACTAGATTTGCCATGGGGAAACGTCTTTTGATGCCATAAGTTAGTCAGAGGAAAACCTGCATATACATGTAGTTACATTTTAAAACCCCTATAATAAGTGCCTTAAGGCTGACTGCTAGCTTGTTTGCATGTAAAACATAACCCCCAAGACATGCTTTCAAATCTGTTAACAAAGATCAGACATATACATTACAGCCTAGACATACCTCCAGTGGCCACTCAGAGGTGCTTTCTGGGACCGTGCTGCAGTGTGCAGCACTGACATTTCGTATATCACCCTCTGCATGAAGACACTGTATATGTTGATTGGCCAGGACTGTTTGGCTTGTGCTGGCTCTGCCCCTGACCTGCTTTCTTAAAGGGACACTATAGGCACCTAAACCACTTCACTCATTGGAGTGGTCTGGGTGCAGTGTCCCTTTTGCATTTAGTGCTGTAATGTAAAACCTTGCGGTTCCAGAGACTACCAGACAGCCACTTGAGGGCTTCCTGAATCTAAACAGACCTTTGGTCTGGTATCTGACGCTGGACGTCCTCACTCTGCATGAGGACATCAGATTTCCCCCATTGTAAAGCATTGATTCAATGCTTTCCTATGAGGAGGTCAAATGCGTGTGGCATTGTTCACGTGCATAAGCACCTGCTTGTTGCAGGACGTTGTAGAGGGGGGGAGCGTTGTCTCTGCTCTGAGATCAGTTAAGTAAATTAAGGGATTTTTAAACCTTTGCCTGGTATGTGGTTGAGAGGGGGCAGGGGGAGCGATAGTGCCAGGAATCCAGTTTTGGATTCCTGGCAATATATATTATCCCTTTAACAAGCTGAGCCAATCAAATGCTTTCCCATGGGAAAGCATTGTGACTGGCTCATGACCACTTCGGATGGGATTTTGTCACCTTATAGGACAAAGGACACCATATTTATGGTTTCAATAGTGTCTGTATTATGCGTGTAGGGTTTTTGTTTCTTATAAGGTGACTTTAAAGTCATAGGTGGGAACTGGACCTATCAACCATTTTTTATTTTTATTTTTTTCATTTTTTTTTTCATTATAGGATCATTCTTTTTAAGCTATTAAAGGTACACTAGCATTAGAAATACAAACTTGCATTCCTAATGCTACAGTGTCACTGTCACTGCTTTTTCTTTTGTTCGCAAGTTCTTTCTGTTTCTAATGTGTGGCAAGCAGTTTACAGTGTTTATTTTATTTTTAGATGTCAAATATCACAGTGACCTACAGGGATGGCAGAGTGGCACAATTGGAACAGGTCTACATCAGAGGCAGCAAAATCAGATTTCTCATTCTTCCAGACATGTTGAAAAATGCTCCGATGTTAAAGAGTATGAAGAATAAAAACCAAGGATCTGGAGCAGGAAGGGGAAAAGCTGCTATTCTCAAAGCTCAAGGTCCGTGTAATTTGTAATACAAATGCGTTTTTTGGGCTGTTATCTCAAAATGACAAACCCTTGTCGGTTATCAAAATCTTTGATAATATTGTAGTTTTAGCCAATAAGAGTTAAAGGTGAACTTGTCATGACTGATATAGGTTTGCAGTTTTCTAACAATCTGACTTGACTAGTGTTATATTGGGTAAAGGTAAAATTTAGTTACATGAATATACTTTTGAGTGGGACCTGCCATAGACAGAGCCAGTTCCCTGTTGCTGGTGATTGATACTTAGATTCCGCCCAGAGGCCATCAATGTTAATTCTATGCATATTGTACTACTCTTGACTGCATGCTGTCTGCAGATGTGTCAATCTTCTTCCTTGCCTACAAGGGAAGATTGCTTCTCCCTCCCATCCATGGTGCGCTCTCCTGTGTCAGTAGTTAATAAAAAAAAGTGTAGAGCTTGCACATGTGCTCTGAGAAGAGCTGCTAATCTTAAAGATTTTCTTGCCCTGCTCTCTAGCGTGCTGTTTACTGATGCCTGGGCTAGAGTGAGGTCCTATACTGGCATCACTGGAGGGAGCAGAGAAAAGAGCAGGAATTCACATTGGCTGCCAAACACCCAGGCATCATGACAACACTTCTAATCGCCCTGGCGTCTTGATTTGTTGAGCCCTGTGTGTGTATATGTGTATTTTTCCAAAATATTTATTTATTACTGGTATTTATAAAGCGGCAACAGATTCCACGTGCTGTACAATTAGTGAACGTACAATATACACAGACAAATACAAAAGGTAGAGAGAGCCATGCCCATAAGCTGATCTAGCCATTGGAGCTCTTTTTATACAAAGTGCTTGGCTATGCTGGTTTAGCAGTAGATGGCAGTATTGGTCTACATCAATATATTCTAGTTCTAGGACACTTAATGACCTTAACCCTCTGCTGCCATACAGACACTTCATAATGCAAGTTTGCATTTTTTCCCCCTGTTTTCGTTTCTTAATTTCACACCAAATATTTGTATAGAGATCCAAAATAGTGTGAAAATATTAAGAAATGAAAACTGGAGAAAATATGTTTGGTTTGGTCCTATTCAGGTAGTTTGCATATATTAAAGCATAACACTCTTCTAAAACCTGTTAAATTGACAACATTTTTGTCTGGAAACTTCAGGGTTATGCTCTTACAATATATTGTACTAGCCTGTAATGCCCACAATTTGAACATTTTAAAATGTGTTCCTTAGTTAAGTGTGCCTAATGGATTTAAATCTTAATCTAGAATGTAATGTAACTTTTTTCTTTTTTGTTCCAGTGGCAGCAAGAGGCAGAGGACGTGGCATGGGTCGTGGAAATATTTTCCAAAAACGACGATAACAGTGTTTTGTGTTTTAATTGCCCCACCTGACTGTTTAAGCAACCCTTCTGTAGTTTTTCTTTTTATTAATAAAATTGTTCACGAAAAATGATCTGTCCATTTAATCATCCTATGTATTGAAATTGGATGAATCTCCTTAAAATGATGCTCACTGTCTTCATGTGCTAAACTATGGTGAGGTTCTTTGGCTTTTTGTGTAATTTTTAAGGAATTCAAAGTGAATTTCACGGCCAATTTAGCTGAACTTTTGTCACTGACCCTTAATGTTTACAATTGGAAGTGAGATTTGGGATACTGGGAATCCATAAGTTAACACCACTCCTGAGCAGCTTTGCCCGTGCCACACTTGGCAAAAAGATTGTATATACCCATCTTAAAGAATATGAACAAATAAAATACAATGTTTTTGTTTCTTTGAGCCCATACAGTCACAACAAGCATGTATCTTGCTACAGGACATTGCATCACACCTAATAAGTTTGAATCTTGCTCCCTTTAACTGGTTGAGGCTTTGCCCTGATTGCTTCACTACTATATATTTTTTAAAAAAAAGTTTCAGACAGTGGCTAACACTGTCTTGCTAAAATAATTGCTTAGATTTACAATTGTCTTGTTCTGTAAAGTTTTTAATATACATGTGAACTTGGGCAGCATACATTTTTATTAACCTTTTAATGATCAAATGACAAGTACTCCAGTCCTATTGATTCTGCAAGCCCTTTATATAGGTTTTGATTACTGAAGTATGAGCCAGGAATAACTGAATACATAAAAGCTAGCTTTAAAGGGAAACTCCAGTGCCAGGAAAACAATCCATTTTCCTGGCACTGCAGGTTCGCTATCCCTCCCACCCCCAATCCCCGGTTGCTGAATGGGTAAAAACCCATTCAGTAACTTACGGTAGCGACTATGTTCCACGTCGCTGCTTCTTCCTTCGCACCACTCCTCGTCCTGACTGCGTCGGCCGGTGGGCGAGACTGATCCCGCCTACCTGCCGAGGAGACCTAATGCACTGCCACACATGCGCATTAGCACTCTCCATAGGAAAGCATTGAAAATGCTTTCCTATGGGGAAATGAGCGACTCTGGAGGTCCTCACACAGCGTGAGGACGTCCAGCGACGCTCTAGCACAGGTTTTCTGTGCTGTGGACAAGGAAGTGCCCTCTAGTGGCTGTCTACTAAACAGCCACTAGAGGTGGAGTTAACCCTGCAAGGTAATTCTTGCAGGGTTAAGAGTAGTGGGAGTTGGCACCCAGACCACTCCAATGGGCAGAAGTGGTCTGGGTGCCTGGAGTGTCCCTTTAAGGATATTAACTGATGTCCCAAACCTTAAAGGTAATACATTCCAGTTGTTGTTTTATTTCCCCAATTCAAAATATTATGAAAGGCTTAAAAGCTTTGTGCTATATTTGTGGAAAAACAATTTTTTTTTTTTTTTTTTTCAAATAAAATCACTCAACTCCATCTCTTCATGTCTTGTACATCCGATTAGTGGGTCATTACAAAGCTTTTCTTTCATGTGTATAAAAGCCCTATTGTCTGTACTGCAAAGCTAAAAATGTCTTGTTCTTCCCATTGTGTGTGGTTGCTGCTTCGTAAAAACAAAACTAAAAGAAAGCAACCTCTATACTTTCCTCCATGGTCTGACCTGGTGGGACTCATTGGTGAAGCGTGTTTAAAATTTGTTCAGGAAACTGCAGTTGATAACACTATAATCTAGAAATGACTCTTGATTTGACATGGTTCTGTTTGGATCCTACAAGGTAAGTTTGAGTTCATTCCAATGTTTAGCTTTGTGGGGTTTTTTGTTTGACGTGAATATTTCATGTCTTGTTCACTTTAACAAAATTATCATGGCAAAGTGACTTGGCATTTGAGGCTCGTTTAGTGGGTGTTTGCATATATGCACTTCTACATGCTTACTGATAAGGCCTCTTTCAGAAGCAAATGTATTTGTGGTTGTGGAGCTTCACAATGGACTATTGTGTCCCTATCAATATTTATTTGGCAAAGTACAAAGCAATTACTGTTCCTCACTTCTAATCCTAACCTCACAATAAATTTGCATAGTATTGTATCAGGAGATTGACAGGTGTTACATTTGACTTATTTTCCCTCCCTTTAATATGCTACACACTAGATATTCTAAATGTCACTAATTTGTTGTGCCTATTGTAACTTTAATTGTCAAATATGCCAGTAGAAATTCTAAAATGTTCAGCCCAATGAGGCACACCAATTATACTGGTTCTAGTGTGTATGGGATTTGTGTATGTAATACAAGATTGCCATTTCTAAATAGTTTGTCAGTACAATGCTTCATTTAAATGTAAAATCACAATAAGTGATATATTGCATTGTATGAAGTTATTATATGGCTCTGAAGGATACCGAAGTCCCCATCTCCCCAATAGTTTTTGTAATACTCTATGGCTGTTGCAATGGGGTAGACTGGAACATGGTTTGCTGATAAGTGAGACTGCCAGTATGAATAGGGCCTACTAGAGAGACCAGGTTTAAATAAGCATGCCCAGAGCAATCCCCTGCTACTTATTCAAGGGTCTGTATGGTGTTACCTCCAGCCAGTGGAAACTACTTGTACTTTGCACAGGTAACCATGGCAATGCTGATTCATAAGTGATATGTTCCACAGGCTCTACCCAGGGATTAACATGAACCCCATAGCCCCCTGCCTAGCCAAAATGAAGCTTAATTTATGTCTTCACTAAACTTTTTATCATGCGTCTAATTGCCCCGTTGCCGCTGCTTCCCTACCACCCTGGATCTGCCACTGGTGCAAAATATAACATAAGTGATAAACAGCCTTTATGGGGTAATTTTACATTATATGTAAAGTATGTATTTGTGCGTGTATATATGATCTATTACACAATCCAGCGCACTTGCTTATTCACGAAACAATGATTTCAAATCTCAGATTGTAATAGTTTTATTTAAAAACCTCACCTAGGCAAAAATAATGGGGATTTAGTTACATTATTTGATCATATGTAAGCATAAGCCTGCTACACCATCAATGTACCCCATTTTTGGCAAGGCCTAATGCCTGCTCTTATGTCATATATTGCATAAGCCTGCCACAACGTCAGTGTACCCCATTTTTATCTGGTCCCAGGGGCAGACTGACAATGGTCTGAGCTTCCTGCAGAACAATATATATTGGTGTAGCTTTACCATGTATTTGATTGTATAAGTATGTAAAGTGTTTCTGTGCGTATTCATGGAGTCTTGATGTTAGTGAATATATTTGTCTGTCGTGTCAGAATATGTGAATTCAGCGTATATATTCAGATGCAAACTTTGCATCTTGACTTACAAACCAGGTGATAAACGTTATGAGCCACCTTAAAGGAACAAATGAACACTATAGTGTCACAAATACAAATGTGTATTCCTGACACTGTAGGTTTAAAATAGGGTCCCTGGCTACCCCTACAGCCCCCCTCCACCCTGCCTTTGTTAAAAAGGTGATTTACTCGCATTTATTCCAGTGCTGCCTTGGTCTCTTTGCTGCTGGCCTTCCCCTTTCTCCGCCTCCTTGCCTGAGATCAAATTAGATTCTCTCAGCCAATCCAATGCTTTTCCTATGGCAAATACACATGTGCGGCAAAACGCCACACCGCGCCAATCTGCATCTCCTCATAGAGATGCAGTAAATCAATTCTTTATGAGGAGCGTTTAGTGTCTTAATACAGAATGGAAGTGGGAATGTAAACACTGGCTTTTCTATGAAACTGCAGTGTTTACATTAAAGTCTAAAGGAACAATATAGTCACCAAAACAACTTTAGCTTAAAGGGAAACTCCAGTGCCAGGAAAACCGTTTTCCTGGCACTGCAGGTCCCCTCTCCCTCCCACCCCCCAATCCCCGGTTGCTGAAGGGGTGAAAACCCCTTCAGTAACTTACCGGAGGCAGCGACGATGTCCCACGTCACTGCTTCTTCCTCCACGCTGCTCCTCCCTCTGATTGCGTCGGCTGGTGGGCGATTCTGATCCTCCACCCCCCCCCCACCGACCAGGGAGACCTAATGCGCACTAGCACTCCCCATAGGAAAGCTTTGAAAATGCTTTCCTATAGGGAAATGAGTGATGCTGGAGGTCCTCACACAGCGTGAGGACGTCCAGCGACGCTCTAGCACAGGTTTTCTGTGCTGTGGACAAGGAAGTGCCCTCTAGTGGCTGTCTAGTAGACAGCCACTATAGGTGAGTTAACCCTGCAAGGTAATTATTGCAGTTTAAAAAAAAAAAAAAAAATTGCAATAATTACAGTTGCAGGGTTAAAAGTAGTGGAAGTTGGCAACCAGACCACTCCAATGGGCAGAAGTGGTCTGGGTGCCTGGAGTGTCCCTTTAATGAATTGGTTTTGGTGTATAGATCATGCTCCTCTAGTCTCTCACTGCTTAACCCCTTAAGGACCAAAATTCTGGGATAAAAGGGAATCATGACATGTCACACATCATGTGTCCTTAAGGGGTTAAAGGGATTCTCCAGTGCCAGGAAAACATATTAGTTTTCCTGGCACTGCAGGACACTGTAGTGCCACTCTTCCTCACCCCCCAACTCCCCATCCCAAGTTGATGAAGAGGTTAAAACCCCTTCGGCGCTGGACTCAGGGAAGTCAGCCTAGTTACACCTCCCTGCATGTGACTTACACAGCCTTTCTAAACTCTTCCTGTAAAGAGTAATTTAATTGTTATACTTCCTTATTGCAAATTCTGTTTAATTTAGAATTCTTATCCCCTAGTCAGTTAATAGCTTGCTAGACCCTCCAGTAGCCTCCTGTATGTGAATAAAGTTCAATTTACAGAGCAGGAGACAAAAACTTTTAAAGTAAGTTTCATCTGATTGAAAATGAAACCATTTTGTTTTTATGCAGTCTCTCAGTCACAGTCAGGGGAGGTGTGGCAAGGGCTGCATAAACAGAAACTGAAGTGATTTAACTCCTAATTGGCAATGAATTATGCAGTGAAAATTCATAGGCTTGATCTATACACTAAAACTGCTTCATTAAGCTAAAGTTATTTTGGTGACTATAGTGTCCCTTTAAGCTGTAGTTGTTCTGGTGACTTTAAATGCTTGTGCGAGTGTATTGTGTATGCAATGACCTAGTTGTATTGAGGGTCTGTTTGCGTTTGTAAAGCCAAGGCTATGTTTGCATGTAGTTTGTGTGAACACAGGTTTGCATGTGTGCAGGGTCAGAGTGCGTGAACACAGGGCCATATGTTTATGAATGCAGGGTCATGTGTGTTCACAGTATGTAAATGCAGGCCGTATATGTACAGAGTGTGAATGTGCTTGAATGCACTAGTAATTACCACCAGTAGTAGATATCACAGGGGGCATAGTAGATGAAGGAGAGGATTAGGGACCGTAGTGGATGCATAGGGATAAAGGCTGTAGTGCGTGCAGGGAGTAATAGGGGCTGGTTTTGAGGTGGCAGGGAGGTATGGGAGATAAAGTGGGGGCAGTGGTTAAGAAGCTGTAGTGGGTGCAGGGTGTATAGTGGCTAGGGATCGACCGATATTTATTTTTTAGAGCCAAAACCGATAATCTGTGAACTTTCAGGCTGATAGCGTACCGATATTCTGTACATTTACTGCATTTGTTTTTGTTGCAAATCTTTTATTTTTTTTAATTAAGTGGTAAATGCACAAAATATATATGCCAGTCAGATTTTTTTTTTTGTTTTCAAGAATATTTATGTGTAGTGGATGCAGTGAGAGTATGATTAGTAAATGCAGTGTGTGTTTGTGTAGTGGATGCAATGTGTTTTTTTTAAAAAAAATTTTTTTTTTTTTTTATTCTTTATTTTTGCAGTGCGTTGCATGCGCCATACATAAAACAGTATTTTGCATAATAGAGGTTCCGATATATAACATTACATGGGTTGTGTAACTGCACCATTTTTACATTTTATACATGCTGTAAACGTGGATCTAGGTCCTGCTATACGTGTTTCTTGTTTGGTTATAGGTATGGGTCGCCTAGTCAGTCCTAGCATCCTTGTCCCGTGTGCTGGGGAGCAAAATAGGAGGTGGTACATCCGTGGTTATTGCACACTTGGTTGTAAAGATATTTAAAGTGAGTGTCTTGTGAGCATAGAGGTGAGCGGACACAGTTGTGTGTCCTTTGAGGTGTGTAGATAATCGGTTGTAGCTTCTTCTTGCGGTAACGCAAGGTGATGATTGTGTTCTATGCCTTGGGTGAAAGGTACACCTAACCAAGGGAGTTGTGGGGGGAGAGGGTAGTTGGTGTTCTTGTCGCCCTTCTATATTATTATTAATATTTATATAGCGCCAACAAATTCCGTAGCGCTGTACAATGGGTGGACTAACAGACACATAATTGAGATCAGACCACTGACGTACAGGAACAGAGGGGGTTGAGGACCCTGCTCGATGAGCTTACATGCTAGAGGGAGTGGGGTATAGTGACACAAA